CACAGGGTCATAAAAAAGGCTCTTATTTTGAAAATATGAGGAAGTTAAACAGGACATTTATGCTTTAATTTGAGGCTATAACCTGATGATCAGAAGCAGGTTAAATATTCACTGGAGGACCAGATAAAGATTCATCCGCTGCAGAAAATAGTCCCAAACAGAGCGAGCACATTTAAAACTTAAAGTGTCGGGGGGTCCGTTTTTCCCGATGTCGTTTTCAAAATGAAACTTTAAGACATGAAGTTCGACCACAGCGCAGGATCATTGAGGCTTCACCGTCTTCAGTCGTCAAGTCAGAAAATCTGTGGTTCATGCTGGAGCTGCAGAGCATCGATTCAGAGGCCTGTTGCCGAGCAACAAGATGGAAGGATGAAGTGCATGTGTGGCTGTTTAGTTAAACTCTAAACACTGATGATGACGATGTGTTTCTTCCTCTCAGGTGGGTTCTCTGAGTTCTCTCACCTGTTCCCCGGTCTGTGTGAGGGGAAGTCGTCCGTGGTCCCCTCCTGTATGTCTCAGCCGTGTCTGCCCGTCACCAACGTGGGCCCCACCCGCATCCTGCCTCACCTGTACCTGGGCTGTCAGAGAGACGTGCTCAACAAGGTTCCTGAACATCCACCCTTTCAAAGTAAAAGCATGAACAAGTCAATCTTAAGTCAGTCCTGGTGTTTTAAACCCCGCCCCCTCTCTTTGTGTCCTCTCAGGATCTGATGCAGCAGAACGACATCGTCTACGTCCTGAACGCCAGCAACACCTGCCCCAAACCCGACTTCATCCCAGAGACTCACTTCCTGCGAGTCCCCGTCAACGACTCGTTCTGTGAGAAGATCCTGCCCTGGCTGGACCGCTCGGTCGAGTTCATCGGTACAGAGACTTTTCATGTTATCTGTCATATTTTAATTAAACCAGGAGCGTCTGACTTCTGTTTTGGTTGCCATGGAAACAGAATTAAACTCAATCATCCGGTGCACAATGTGTGTGTTTCAGAGAAAGCCAAAGCCTCAAATGCTCGAGTCCTGGTCCACTGTCTGGCCGGGATCTCGCGCTCTGCCACCATCGCCATCGCCTACATCATGAAGAGGATGGACATGAACCTGGATGAGGCGTACAGGTGAGGCGCCGATTTCACCGCTTTACGTTGTTCCAAGATTTTAGATTTTCAGTCTGAAGAGTCGGCATCACACAAACTGATGATTCTTTTGTGTGTGTGTGTGTGTGTGTGTGTGTGTGTGTGTATGTGTGTGTGTGTGCGCGTGTGCGTGCGTGTGTGTGCATCAGGTTTGTGAAAGAGAAGCGTCCGACCATCTCTCCGAACTTTAACTTCCTGGGTCAGCTGCTCGACTTCGAGAAGAAGATCAAGAGTCCGAACGAGACGAAGCTCAAGTCCCTCCTTCACCCGGAGTCGGCGGAGGTCTCGGCGCCATCCGATGACTCGGAGCCGGCAGCCAATCAGGAGGCGGGTCCAGGTGTGTCCATGTTGGAGCCGCTCACGCTGCCCTGCGTTCTGGCCGACGCCCCCGACGAGCGTCTGCTGGTCACGGCTCTGAGCGGTCTGACGCTCCCGGACGGTCCGGTGGAGAACGCCCGTCTGAAGCGTTCCTTCTCTCTGGACATCAAGTCGTACGGCGAGCCGGGCGGCGCCGCTCCTCACCGCGTCTTTGTCCCTCACGGGGGGTCGGGCGATGCCGGTGAATTCTACAAACCGTCCACCTTCAAGGAGGCGAGCAGCAAGCCGTGCCAGTTCTCCCCGGTGGAGGAGGTCTCGGAGCAGTCCACGCCGGAGCAGAGTCCTGATAAGGAGGAGGCCGACGGCGCCGAGCGAGTCGCACCGCCGCCGCCGCCCGCCTCCTCTAGCTTCAAACTTCCACCGTCTGCTCACAGCTGCTCGCAGCAGCTACACCGCAGCGGCAGCGTGGAGGAGAACGCCACCAGCTTCCTGTTCGGCCTCTCGCGCAGCCAGCAGCACCTCGCCAGGCCGGGGCAGGGCGGCGCCCTGAAGGGGTGGCACTCTGACATCCTGCTGGGCCCCGTCACCGTCTCCACCTCCTCGCTGACCGGAGGCTGGTACCTCTCCTCTGACTCCGCCCGCTTCTACTCCACCTCGGCCATCCTGAGCAGCGGTGGCTTGGCGGCGTACGGTTGCGGTGCCGGGCTGGAAGCGGTGCGGCGGCGCGGGCGTCAGAGGACGGGCGACCACGGCGACTCGAGGAGGAGCTGGCACGAGGAGAGCAGCTTCGAGAAGCAGCTGAAGAGGCGGAGCTGTCAGATGGAGTTTGGAGGCGGGCTCACGGACAGCCGGTCCAGAGACGACCTGCGACAGGTGAGCAGTCAGTCCAGCTTCTCAGGCAGCATGGAGGTCATCCAGGTGTCCTGAGACTGATTCAAGGACACGCTGAGAGAGTCGGAAATCTGACGCTCGGTCAGGATGAAGCAGCTTAAAGTCGAGGACAGAAACGTGCAGCACACAGCGAGGAGGTTCAGCTCGCACAGGCTCGCTATCGGCCCAAATATAAGACGATATTTTACTCTGAAAATCTGGTTTTGGGCCGTCTGATGTTTGAGTGTTGCATCATGGGTTGTTTTAGCCTGAATGTTGCGAAGCGACAGTTGGTTCATAGTGAGTTTTTATTTTTTACTACAGGTGTTCCGGTGACATCACATTAAATAAAAAATTAAAATCAAACAAATTATTCATCAAAGTCTCTGAGAAAAAGACGTTTTGATAATCTCAAACAGGAAACAGTAACCAGACAGGAAGTTGTTCAGCCCAGAGATAGAGTGACAGCTGTTTTTAATTCTCTTATATTTTGGCCAATAAGATAAAAAGTTCAGTTCATCATCAAAACAGCCATCTGTCAAATCAAAAACCAAACCCTCAATTATTAATCACACCGTCAAAGACAGAACCTGCAGTTAATAAAAAATGACATTTAAGAACATCTCCCCTCCTCAGAATTAACGTGATGACAGTGAACGCATCGGAGGAAAAAAAAGGGATCAAACAGTTAATGTTTTAGTTTGGAGATGATGAAGGTGTGCTGCAGGAAAAAAACGTTTCTGATCGACGGACTCTGAGCCTGTGTATGTGTTTGAGGACGAAGCTGCTCGTTATCGGCCTTCAGACTGCATGATGATGATGAAGATGAAGATGAAGATTGGGACGGTTCCGGTCTCTTCAGTACCTCACAGATCCAGACTTTCTCTTTTTGTTTGTATAGATGAATAAAGAACTCAGGGGCTCCTGAACAGACTGATGTGTCAGAGACTCGTGTGATGATGATGATGATGATGATGATGAAGAGGAGGAGGGCGCACTGTGATGTGGATTCAAAGAGGCTGGGACTCAGACTCAGACGTGGACTCTGTTTAATCATAAAGACTCACAGACGTGTTGATGATGCACTGCTGCGGTGTGAAAGATCTGATTAAAAAATATGAAGCAGAAAATCAAGAAGAATGTGTTTGACTTTTTTTATGTATATGCACAAACAGAAACTGGTCCCATCCTGCAGAGTGAAATCTAGCATGTACTTGGCTGTTCTTACCCACAATCCTCTGCAGTAACAGACACGTCACATCCTGGTATTTCTTTGGTTTTGAACACATCAGAGCAGAACTGATTAGAATATCAGAAGTTAGGAGGAGAAACTGAAATTGACATGAACATAAATAGTTGGACTGATCCTTTATGTAGCTGCTGTAATGTGCCGCCCCCTGCTGGACACACGTGGAATTACACCCATGTTATGAACCATTTTCAGCACTTCTGTTCTTTGCTTCCTTTTAGTGCATATGTCTTGCTCAAGGGCACCTCAGCAATGCTCAGGAAGTGAACTGGATTCCAACAATTTCAAGATTTGGGCCGCACCAGGACTTGAATCTGCGACCCTCTGGTTCCCAAAACCAAATCCTTACAGACTGAGCTTCTGCCGCCTCATTAAAGATTCAAATTCTCTCTTCTAAGAGCGTCCTGGCCTGAGACGGGCAGCAGCACAATTTAGAGTTTCACACAAACAACGAGCAGCCACACGTACAAATACAATAAAGACACATTATTACACACATTATTGTTTGTGAACTATTTATTAATCATGTAATATTTATGAGGATCATGACCAGGTCGCCCTAATGAAAGAGATGTTGATCTCAACGGGTTCATTCCCTCATTTGGTGAAATAAAAGCAAAGAAGAAGAGACTCATGCACACTGACAGGAATTAAATACATGAAGATGAACACAAATATAAACAGTTGAGATAATAAGAGAGTAAAGATAAAGAGTGATAAAAAGGATTAGTGGAATAGAAACTGATAATTCCCAGCAGCAGGGGGCGTCCTCACCTTTCCACTGTTTACATACAGAGATACATTGTGGTTAGTATTCCCTGAGTGTTGACTGGAAGGCTCCTCTCCTGCAAACACATGAAACAGTAACTGACTATTCTGCAAAAAGAAAAAAAAAGTACTCTTACTATTCTGAAGTATAATTTATTTCTAACCCGTTTGGTTTAATTTGTAAAATAGTGTAAAATAATTTTAATAAAGCCGTATATTTAATAAACACTCATAATAATTAATAAATGATGAGCTTTCAGTCACTTCTTAGTTGAAGACTAATCCGTTAGTTGTCACAGATTGTTCTAGTATATAAGGGGGTTTCAGTATCAGTATCCATGGATACCGGATGGGGCGTGCCCACTGCAGACAGCCGTGCTGCCTGACAGTCAACACTGAGGGCCTGATCTTAACCCTGAGCCTGTGGTCAGGTTGACTGCTGCTGCTTTTCTCTTAATTCTAAGTCAAGTGTAGTTTTTATACTAGGCACATCTCCGGAGAGCAGAGCGGCCAACAACAAACTTCAGGACCCGAACAGGAGCTCGGTTTGTCGGATATAAAGTCCTCAGAGGGTCCGGTGACATCCAGCGTGGAGATACCTGCGTGTTATTTGTGCCATGTTTTTCTAACGTTTCACGGATTATTGGATGAAGCCCACACCTGCAGGTAAGCTCCTTTTAATGATTCTCAACAGGGCACTTCACATTCCTGCCTCCGCCCAGAGACACACATTTTCCCAACACATTCACATTTTTTTTTAACTACATTTTATTTACAAATCGGCTCAAATGAAGAGAAATAAAAATGTTTAATAACCTCCACCTGTGCCCGAGATAACGGTTAATCTTAACGGAACATGTGAATGCAAACCGAGGCAACTTGATCTGCCCTTCTGCTCTGTGGAAGGAGAGGTGGCCCTTCTGTGCTGTAAGCGGAGAACACCTGCTCCAGACTGCGTTTGAAAATGTACATTAAATGAATCTGTGAACTTACACAAGCGATAAATGACGAAACAACACACGGAAACCAAGAACAAGGAACACATCTTTAATTCGGCGTACAGTCACAACACAAAACTTTGCTGTATGAATTAAAATTCAACTTTTATCACCACTCCTTCTGTTATTTCTCGCGTCTTCAAAGGCTCAACGTAGTGTGAGGCGATAGCGTGTCTTTTGAACCAACGCGTAGCTTTACTGAATAATCTGTTAAAACAAAGCGACTAATTATGGATCTAATGTATGCCGAATTAACACACAGGTCTTACAGAACATCATAAGAACCAGTTTAATGATTAAGTAAACACTAATACATAAAGGTAATCATGTTTACCTGAAATCGAGATAATTCTAAAGGGAGTTTGGCGCTATTTGTGTGACGGCTTGACAAATGAAGGTGAGAGGCAGCAGCCCCCCCCGATACCTGAATTTATCCAGACTAAACCGAGCCGAGCCAGGCTAACTGTGTAGCCCAGGTGTGTGTGAGGTAGCCCGGGCAACAGGCGGTCTGTCCCCGGCTGTGTGTCCGGGTCTGCCCGGTGTGTCGGAGCCTTTTGTTTGGCTTGGCCTGAAAGGAGCCCGGTTGCCAGGGATGACAGAGATATCACAGCTCGGTATTGTTCCAGTCAGGGTTACCGGAAGGTCTCCACGGCAGCGTTTTTATCTCCTTTTGTCTTTTGAAAACAAACGGATCCTGACAGCTGTTTTCTTTGAGCGGGAAATAAAAGCTGCATGCTGGTTTGTCTCAGACTCACGTTAACGGACATTAAGTGTTTGATTTAATAGATCTGTTCGGTGAAGGTGTGTGAACAGTTAACAGATGTTACTGTGCTGCTGCTGCCCCCCCTTCACTCCCCCCCGTGACCTGAGCAGGTAATTGGTGTCATGTGAGGAGCAGGTCTCAGGTGAGATAACCCACTCAGTTGATATTAATATTACACAGAACAAGTTCGAGTCTATTTTAACATCACAGGACTGCGTTTTCAGGTTTTATTTGATATATGGAGACGTTTTAAACTTTATTTATCCCTGCCGATTAAAGAAATCTGCTCTCACGAGTTGTATCGACATTAAAGTGGTTTTACGAAAGTCTTTCTGTGTTTTATATCTTGACCCAAGATGGTGGCCGGAAGTTAACGGAGCGTCTTTTATTTTGGAGGGTATCTGTAACTGTTTGCGATTTTAATTCATTCAAAAGGTTAATGGATCTACAGAAAAATAATCTGGATTATTGATGATAATAACTGATAAGTATTTTCTAATTTCTGAACTGTTAACTGTAACCGAGCGTTACATGCAGCTAATGCTACAGCTAACAGGAGGACATTGTGCAAAAATTGACTTTGAATTTTTGCACATAGATGTGCCTAAACATGCACAGGACACTTGGAAAACACACTAAAGAGCATATAAAACCAGATAAGAAGAATATGGGACCTTTAATGTCTTTTAATTTGGAGAAAGGACAGTGCAGAGTCAAACCTCGGGGCGAGAGATATGTATGCAGGATCGGAGCCACAGGTTGGAATTGAACCCGGACCGCCTGCTTGGAGTACTATGCCTCCATACATGGATGCGTGCCCACTAACCGCTTGGCCGCCAGTGCAGCAGAGGCAAGGGCATTTTGATGAATTTCAGAATACAGATAATGCAAAGACATTTTTTGACCATTTCTTTTTGTTGACAAACCTGCTGTTGTTGAATGTTCCTCCTAAAGTTTGACTGTCTGTGTTTTTTAAACTAAAACGTCAGTTATGAAGTTCGGGGAACCAAATTGGTACAATCTATGTTTAAAACCTTTAATTCTGCACAAATTCTATTAGAATTGTATCAAAGTTTAAAAATCTTGTATCGAGACTACCCTGGTCAGGTGTTTTATTTCTCAAACACTGTTCGCTTAGCGCTCTCTGTTAGCTCCTTCTTAGCTCTCTGTTAGCTCTCTGTTGGTTGTTGTTGAAGCTCGTCTGGATCATGTGCTGATGCCGAACACTTAAAGGACCTTTGAGCTGTGTGTTGTGTAATCTGAGCTGTTTTCTGGATCTTTGTCCCATTTTAAAGATAGCACAGATTAAAGTCCAGCTGGATGTGTGGGAATCATCCCTCCAGCTGCGGTCCTCCCTGGGGGGCTCACTCAGACTATTTCTGGATGTTTCCCAGGCCTCCAGGTCCCTACTGGTCCCTGTTGGTCTCTGCTGGTCCATGCTGGGGCGGCTTCACTGTCTGAATAATAAAAGACGAACAAACAAACAAATATCTGCAGGGCAAGATTTTAAATTTTCAATGAAGGAAGAGAAATGAAGCGTTGTCTAGTTCACTTCCTCGTGCTATTACTCTCCATATACTGTATCACTATTCCTTCTGTTTTTTTTTAAATATCTTTCATTATTAATCATCAAATTTAATCAATTAATTTATGGAAGTTTCTGTATTTTCTCTAAAAACTGCAGAAAAGTTACAAAGAAGTGTCCATCACAGTTTGTTGTTGATTTCTGATTGTTGCCGGGCGTCTCCTGGGAGTTCACCCTGCAAGTGCGTGTGTGGGTGTCATTGGTTGCCATAGCGACGTGGTGATGTAACCGTACCTGCCAGGTGCTCCTTGATGTGTCTGAGGAGCACTGGAGGATTCTGGGATTGAAACAGGAGCTGATCGTGAGTTTTGTTTTTCTTTCTTCAGGAGGGAGACGGACGAGTCGAGTTTCAGAGCGCGGCGTCACTTAATGATCCGTACAGGTGGACTCACACCTGGTCGGTAAAGAGACACTGTCACACACAGACCGGTCAACGCCCTTGGTTGTATCAAGAGCTCTCATTGGTCAGTGGTTTTCGCAGTTGGAATTCAGAAATATTTACGTGGATTTCAAGGTTTTTTTTAATACAAATCAAACAGTACAAACAGACACCTGCTTGATACCACGAGGGAGCCGAGCCTGAAGGCAAAACTTTCCATTTGTCGGTCGAGGTCTGTTCCAACCCTCAGCTGAGGTCATGAGCATTTGGGTGGTGACGGATTTTTACTTGAATCATATCAAAGTTTAAATCTCTGGAATTATGACAACTCTAGTTTTCATGAAAGTTTAGAGAAATATTCACCATAAGGCAAAAAGTGATAAAAAAGGAAAATTCTCTCTCTCTCTCCCTCTCCCCTCTCTCTCTCTTTCTGTCTCCCCCTCTCTCTCTCTCCGACTGTTAATCCTCTCTGTGTTGTTTTATTCAGGAGGTCAGCCTGACTGTTTTCTAATCTTCTCTCTGACTCTGGATTTCCTCGCTGCTCTTTAAGAACAGACAGAAACAATCAAACACGACTTTACTCTCTGAAAACTGCAGAATTAGACGTTCAAAGTTCACATGCTGCAAATACTCAGAGAGTTTCTATCAGAGTCAGACCTTTTATTTCTGCTGTTTCCTCTTGTCCCTCTTGTTTTGATAAATTCTGTTTCCTCATTCCTCATCCATTGGTTGAAGTTTCTACTCCCTTGTTCTCGTCTTTGTCAATAAAAGTCAACACTTCCTTTTTCAAATCAAAATGATAACACTCATTCGGGAGTTCCCCTTGAGCTCAGAAAGAAAACTTCCTTAAGCTCACCTGTCATGATGCCAGGATGTTAAACATTGATGTGATGATTGATACCTGTTTACTACCACGGCAACCAAAAATAGAAGTCCTGGGCGCCCAATATGGGGTCAATTACTGTTTTTCATCAACAGAAAATGCAGATGGTTGAAATTGTGGACTGTGCCTTTAAGACATACTGTGTTGCTAAGTTACTAGCAGAGCGTCGTCACAAGATGGCGCATTGTTTTTCCCCTTGAAGTTGAAGTTAGTTTGAGCTGCGCTTATGTCATGGACGGACGTATGTAATAAACAGCGAGCACAGTGGAAACCCTGACACGTGTGGTTGTGCACTTTTGGCTAACTTTACCGTCTCCAACACTCTTCAAAACTCCGCTAACCAAGAGGCCCGGCGCCAAACCGTTACAAGAGACGTCTTTACCTCCTCGCAGGTCGAGCTGCTGATCAAATCGGTGAAATCAAACCGAACACTGTGGTGAATAATGCTCTCGTGTAAACAGGAGGTTTCCTTGTTCCTTGTTGGCCGGGCAGCTGAGTGAAGACAGAGTCCAATCTGCTCTGATCAATAACTCTGATTGATGTCATCAGCAGGAGCTCGCCGTGTGTTTGTTTTTTTCAGACCTAAAGGTTGAAGGATCAGTCGTTAGAAACATGAACCAACGTGTGTTTTCTGGAATAGACCCAGCAGGTTATTTTTAACCTTCATTTAAAAAGCAGCTGGACGTCACAGTTCAACTCAAAGTCATAAAGAGTGACGCTTTACGGCCGTCGTTTGAGATAAAGTCAAAACTTTATTGATCCCTCTGTGGGTGATGTCGACGATGTTTACAGTACAACAAATACTCGAGATAAGACCGGCAGAGAGACTCGTTTACAGACAACTGAATCGTTATCTTTTGTTTTTTTTAAAAGAGTTCAGACTCTGTGCTCAGCGCTGTAGTACACATGCCAGGCCACTAGTTGGCGGTGTAACAAAATGCTCACATCCTCTTCCTTCTACAGAGCGGGGAGGTTAAAATATTGAAAACCTTCCACTAGTCCACCTGGTCCTGTTCTGCTTTGTTCTCCCTCATGTTGAGTCAGCATTAAGTCCTGTC